GTGCACCACCACACCCAGCTAATTTTTATATTTTTAGTAGAGATAGGGTTTCACAGTGTTGGTCAGGCTCATCTTGAACTCCTGACCTCAGTAGATCTGCCCACCTCAGCCTCCCAAAGTGCTGGGATTACGGGTGCGAGCCACTACCCCTGCCATGGACTTTCATTTTCAATAAATCCCTGCTTTTGTTCTTTCACTGCTTCATTTTTTGCTTGCTTTTCTGTGTGTTTTGTCCAATTCTTTGTTCAAAACGCCAAGAACCTGAGCAACTTGCAGTCAAGACCCTCCACCAGTCACAAAAGTAGGAGCTCAAAATTATTTCAGGAATACATGTATGCAAATTATTTTCATTCAACAACAGACTTCAATAACATAAGCAAGTTCTCACAACAGACCTCATTATTCAGAAAAAAAAAATCTTGAGGGACCACTCCTCCCATATACCCAGTATCTTCAGTATTTCTGACTGACCAGGAATATGCTGGAAGTATTAATTGGATAAAAAACTGCAATGGTTCTTTATTATGAAAGTTATTTATGTGACTCAGAAAAAACTTACAGTCAAAAGTATATAAAGTGGCCTGGGCTTGGTGGCTCACACTTGTAATCTCAGCACTTTGAGAAGCCAAGGCAGGCAGATCACCTAAGGTCAGGAGTTCAAGACCAGCCTGGCCAACATGGCAAACAAAACCCCATCTCTACTAAAAATACAAAAACTAGCCGAATGTGGTAGCACACGCTTGTAATCCCAGCTACTTGGAGGCTGAGGTGGAAGAATAGCTTGAATCCGGGAGGTGGAGGCTGCAGTGATCCAAGATTGTGCCACTGCACTCCAGTCTGGGTCACAAAGAGAGACTCCATCTCAAAAAACAAAACCAAAAAAAAGTGTATAAAGCAAAAATTGAAGTCCCCATATCCTCCTTTCCCTGCCTATATCCCATCCCCAAAGATAACTTCTTTTAAGAGTTTAGGGTGAATCCTTTCAAATAACCCTTTACAAATATATGTGGCATTTGTAAACCAAGGACAGGAATAAAATTGCTTCTGAAAAAAATTATAACACAGGCCTTGAATGCTGGTAGGCCTCTCCTGTCTTTTCTTTCTTCTCAATCAACTTTGTTTTTCTCACTGTGAGGACAGGCTTTTGGGCTCCTCCATTACTTTGAAAGAACGTGACCACCAAAAAGTTCCAGCTTTGTAGGACCTCAGAGTTCATGTAGAGAAACCAGACTATACTAGCACCTTAGTCAAATTCTAAATCCCAGGAAGAGGCTTCAGTTGGCCTAGAGTCAGCCGGATTCCATTCTGTGGCCTGCCTGGGTCAACTTGGGGAGATCATAAAGGATGGTTGAGGGGAATCTGGTCAGAAAAAAAAACTGTACATACCGACTGCAAGATATTTTTGTTAAAACCATGCTCTGAATGAAGGGACTTCCCCCAACAGGCTTTGTGTAAGCAACATGGCTGTTTATTCACTCAGGTGTGGGCTGGCTGAGTCCAAAAAGAGAGTCAGCAGCAGGAGGTGGGACAGGAGTTGGTTTTATAGGTTTGGGGTAGGCAGTAGAAAGTTACAGAAGTTACAGTTTAGGGCAGTTTTTGCAAGCTGGGAGGGGGGTCTTAAAATCCGGAATCACAAGGTTGACCAAAGTTGGTTACAAAGTCCAATTGCCTTATCAATTGGGGTTGGAATAAGGAATAGAAGAATGTCTCAAGTTAATTAGTTGCCCTTGTGGGTCAAAATGGCCAGGGCATACCTTTGTTACTTCTAGTTAAATAATATCAGTTAAATATATCAAATATTGGTGCAGTAAAATAGAAATCAAGTGGCAATAGGAGGCCTAAGGTAAAGACCATCTGAGAGCGTTGTAAACCCGTGGAATACTGAGCAGTGGTTGCAGAGCAGGAAATATTGCTTTGGTCCCACGAATGCCTCCTCAACATAAGAGTCTGCATGAGGGTCTCGTAAAGAGGGCTCATGCAATATCTCTGAGAAGGCAGGCAACCTCTGCTCATAAGATCCGGGAAGGTCTTTGCAGATGGGAGCTTGCAAGGGGGAAAAGCCTTGCAGGGCAGAGATTACCAGAATGCCACAGGCTCTGCCTAGGTTCTCAGAATATGGAATAATCTAGATTGCTCTGTGTCTGCAATGCTTTGGGGATAAAAGCCCAGAGATGCATTGGATGTGGTCAAACCTGGTGGCACCATATCCACTAAGCTTCTCATGCAAATGCACCTTGGTAGCAACTGGAGGTAGAAACTCAGTGTTCTAGGTTTGCATAAGAATCATGTCTGCTACTGAATACTGCAGACCACACCTCTCCCCACTCAGCTATCTTGCCCACCTTCGTTTCAAGTGCTCCCCTGATCATCCCTCCCTGCTCTCTCACCCCTCGATTAACAAGTGTATACACCTAAAAAAAGCATGTGGAGCCCAGAGCTAAGTGCCCACACACCCTTCGAGAGCCTGCATTGGACCCCTGGACCCATGTGAATTTCTCGTGTCTTTGTCTTTATTTCCTTTTCTCACTCCCTCAGCACCACCGGGACATGGGGCACCCAGGCACAGGCTTGGGCTGGTTCCCAACAGCTGCAGGGCCAATTCTTCCCTTTTTGTGGTTTTTCAGTTACGTTGGACTTTCTATTTCCAGGAACTCATCTGGAGGTATACACGCAGGTCACAGAGGTTACCATGTAGTCCACGGCACTGTGAGTCAGCCTAAAAGACCTTACAATTTTGGTTTTAATTCCATGTTGGTATATTCTTTTTAAAGGCTATAAAACACATGTAGATGATTTCCAGTGTTTCATTATTGCAAGCAATACAGCTATGAACAATTATCTATATAATACATGATGGAATTTAGGGGGGGTCATAGAATAAGTACATTTGAAATTTTCATATATATTACCACTTTGCCCTGTAAAAAGGTTGTGACATGATACTCTCACATATACACCTGTACTGGATGTTTCCATTCATTTTCGGCTTTGCCAAACATTATATTGGGGAAAAAAAGTTATTTATTCACCTATTAGACAAATTTAATGGTCATTTACTCTGTGCCAAGTCTCTAAGGACTTGGGATTACAGCAGAAAACAAAACAAAACCACTGACCCCATGGAACACTAAACAGAGGGCAGTTACATCAGTGTAAGTGTCGAGTACTAGGAAAAAAAATAGAGAAGGGAAAGATGATTCAGCAGGGTTGGGTAGAGCTCCCTATTTTAATTGTGGTGGTCAACAGGATGACATTCAAGCTCAAAACGAGGCAGACGCCGGGTGCGGCGGCTCACGCCTGTAATCCCAGCACTTTGGGAGGCCAAGCCAGGTGGATCATGAGGTCAAGAGATCGAGACCATCGTGGCCAACACGGTGAAACCCCGTCTCTACTAAAAAAATACAAAAATTAGCTGGGCGTGGCAGCGTGTGCCTGTAGTCCCAGCTACTCGGGAGGCTGAGGCAGGAGAATTGCTTGAACCCGGGAGGTGGAGGTTGCAGTGAGCTGAGATCCCGCCACTGCACTCCAGCCTGGTGCCTGGCTACCAAGCGAGACTATGTCTGAAAAAAAAAGAACAAAAAACCTAGGCAGACATTTGGGGAAAGGCCATCCAGGTCTCTGGGAAGTAGCATGCCTGGTGCATTCAATGAAGAGCAAGGAGGACAGGAGATTGGGGCGGAGTTAGCAAACAGGAGAATACATGAAGTGGAGAAAAGGATAAGATACCAGGGTAGGATTTGGGGAATATCTTTATCATGACTGAAAGCAGCCTGCGCGCTGTCTGTAATAATACATAAATACATTTTTTTGAGACAGAGTTTCCCTCTTGTTGCCCAGGCTGGAGTGCAACCTCTGCCTTCAAGATTCAAGAGAGTCTCTCGCCTCAGCCTCCTGAGTAGTTGGGATTACAGGCACGTGCCACCATGCCCAGCTAATTTTTGTATTTTTAGTAGAGATGAGGTTTCACCATGTTGGCCAGGGTAGTCTCAAACTCCTGACCTCGCCGGTCTCAGCCTCCCAAATTGCTGTGATTACAGGGCTGAGTCGTCACGCCAGGCCTGTAATAATATTAACAACAGCAAAAGATCATGTTGCAGGTCAGGCACTGTGACTCACGCCTGTAATACCAGCACCTTGGGAGGCTGAGGAGGGAGGTTGGCTAGAGCCCTTGGACTTCGAGACCAGCCTGGGCAACATGGCGAAACACGACTCTACCAAAAATTAGGCGGGCGTGGTGGCACAGGGCTGTATTCCTAGCTACTCAGGAGGTTGAGGTGGGAGGATTGCTTGAGCCCCGTTGGTCGATCCTGCAGTGAGCCGTGATTGCGCCATTGCACTCCAGCCTGGGAACAGAGCGATACTCTGTCCCTGTCTCCCTAAAAACAAAATCATTTTGCGGGCCGGGCTCGGTGGCTCACGCCTGTGGTCCCAGCACTTTGGGAGGCCGAGGCGGGTGGATCACAAGGTCAGGAGATCAAGACCATCCTGGTCAACATGGTGAAACCCCGTCTCTACTAAAAATACAAAAAATTAGCTGGGCACGGTGGCGTGTGCCTGTAATCCCAGCTACTCAGGAGGCTGAGGCAGGAGAATTGCCTGAACCCAGGAGGCGGAGGTTGCGGTGAGCCGAGATCGCGCCATTGCACTCCAGCCTGGGTAACAAGAGCGAAACTCCGTCTCAAAAAAAAAAAAATCATTTTGCAATTGCAACCTTCCATCTCCATCTGCAACAACTCCCCGTTCTCAGCTCAACTGATACGTAACCTCTAGAGATGGCTGTATTGACAAGAATGAAAGAAGGTACTCATTCATAATGCTGACCCACAGTGGTGACACCTCCGGGAAAAACGTTCCATACCCCCATGGTCCCGGCGACCCCAATCGCACCTGGTCGACCAGGCGAGGGCGGAAAGGAGCTGCGCCTACGCGATGGTGAGCGCTGGCCCGCACAGCCCGCTCATGGGCGGGGATAAATCGGCCGCCGCGCCGTCTCCGGAAGCTGCCGCTGGCAGCTCTGTTAACGTGTCGGGCGAGCGAGCTGTGTCGCAAAATGTCGTGGCGGAACTTCTCGGCGCTTTTCAGACAATAAGCTTTACGGAACTAGGCTTTGCCGAGCTGGGAGATGTCGGCGGCCGGTTGGGCGGAACCCTGGGGTCCTCCCGGCGGCTTTGCGAAGCGGGTCCTGGTGACCGGCGGTGCTGGTTTCATGTAGGTAGTAGCGCCGCTAGCTAAGCAGTGGCCCCCCCAGAAACCCCTACCTTTTCCCGTGGCTCTGCTTGCCCTGGGCAATTTGGGTCCAGCTTGGAGGCGTTCTTATTCTGACCTGGGAGGGGTCCTAATGCACTACCTGGATCATCGTAGCTTTTCTCTCCGGGGCCTGCGAAGACGTGGTTCCTTTGGAAACTGTAACTTCTTTAAAACCCCTCTTCCAAAGCAAGAGTGTGGCCCCAGGTGCTCACCACGTCACTCCTTGAATGCCTGCAAGTTACCCTAAGCGGCTCACCGACTGCTTCCCACCCCCAGCCTAAAGCACCCCCACCCAACGGTGCACAGGCCCTGTACGTACAGGCACCCCAAAAACGATTTGAGGATTACAGTAGGACATCCATGTAATAGCAAACCTTTACAAATCCACTGTTGACAATATTTTTCTTCCTCAGTCGCTCAGCATGTCCTCTCTGCTTCCAAAGTATATCCTCACGGCGACCACTTCTCACCACTTTCCTAAGGACCTCCCTAGCCCATGTTTACCGTCATCTTTCGCCTAGACTGCTGCTGTAGCCTCCTGGTTGGCCGTAACTGCGTCCACTCATGTTCCTTTAAAGACCGTTGCTCACGTACAAGTCAGTGTTTCTTAAGTCAATCAGATCGTGTTAGTGAGCAGGATTTTACTTCAGTCGTTCCTGCCACACTTAAAGTCCAAACTCTACCATATGTAGAAAATTCAAGTGCCCAAGCCCTACTTTTGCAACCTCATCTGCTTTTCTGTACCTGCCACGCTTCCCCTCTTACAGTTCTTGGAACACACCAGGCTAGTTCCTCCTCCTGTCTTGAGGCCTTTGCACTTGCTTCCCCTTTGCTTAGGCTATTTGCACCACTCAATTCTGGTTTTTATTCAGATATCACCTCCTCAGAGAGTTCTTACCTGACCACCATATCTAAAATAGCCCCTCTCCCAACTGGCACACTTACCTCTACCTGAAATTATATTGCTGATTTGTGTTTGCTTGTTTATTGCTTGTGTCCCCACTCTAAAATGCAGACTCGGTAAGGACAGAGACTACTGTTCACTCAGCACTTGGAAGAATGCTGGCCCATTCTATATAAGTCTTTAGTAATTGTTGAATGGATGAATGTAAGAAACTCTCCCACCCGTCCCTCAAGGAACTCAGTGTTTAGTGGAAGAAGAGGGAATGTGAGGAATCTTGTTTATTGCCATTGGTACATGAAATCACCCTTTCTAATAGAACAAGTCACTTGTTGGAGGGCATCAGACTGCAAGTTGCACTTAATGAGAAAGAGGGGCCGGGTGTGTTGGCCGACACCTGTAATCCCAGCGCTTTGTGAGGCTGAGGCAGGCAGATCACGAGGTCAGGAGTTCAAGATCAAGAGTTTGAGACCGGCCTGGCCGATATGGTAAAACCCGTCTCTACTAAAAATGCAAAAATTAGCTGGGCGTGGTGGCGCGCACTTGTAGTCCCAGCTACTCCGGGAGCTGAGGCAGAAGAATCACTTGAACCTGGGAGGCGGAGTTTGCAGTTAACCGAGATCCGAAGTCGCGCCATTGCATTCCAGCCTTGATTACACAGTGAGACTCGGTTTCAAAAAAAAAGAACTATGGGCATGAAAGGGTGATACTCGTGTGAGAATGTGGGTCCAGGAAAGGTGCGACTTAGTGCTGTGAAAGGAATGCCGAATACAAACTCCAAGTTCATAATTTTGTCAAGGGCTGCCCTTTCCTGGGAGCCCAACTTTCAAGTATAGCTGGTAAGTCTGATAGATCATTTCACTGAGATATGCCTGATTCCCCTTCGGGGTCCTCTGAAGCCAGGGACCCACTGTGGATATTCAACTCAGGATGGTTTCGGCTGTTATTAGCCTGGGAATCCTGGCTTCAGTCTAGAACCCTTTTGAGGATTCTGGTTTACATTACCAAAATCTTTATACTAAGAAACTGCAGTTGCGGAGGTTACTATAAATATGGACAACTGACTATGCTCATAGTAATTTAATTTTTACATGCTTATATCTGCAGTTCCTGGAAGGGCAGAGGCTGTGCTGACTAGCTCCCGTTTATCATCCCTTTTACTCCACACTTGTACATGTATGGATAGTGCATCATTTGGTTAAACTGACTTTTTTCCCTATACCCAGAACCAGTACATTCTCTCTTCTGCATAGTCTAAATGGAATGTAAAACTTTTGTTTATACTGCTGAGAAGTTTGGTAAAAAGTATGCATGTGTGTATATTTAGTGTAGTTGTATCGTTTTCTGTTATCTCAGAAAAAATTAAAGTTATCTTTGAGTATTTTCCTGATATTCAGCAGCTTAGGAAAATATTCAAGAGTTTAGGGAAGTTGAAGTTTTTCGCTAACAATATATGCTTTTTTTAAATAGCGCATCACATATGGTTGTCTCTTTAGTGGAAGATTATCCAAATTACATGATCATAAATCTAGACAAGGTAAGTTTTATTAAAATGAGCTTCATGCTTCTTTCCAAAGCTTAAAAAGGAAAATCAAATGAGCTTCATGCACTGAAATTACATGTCAATTTATGTTTTTTTAAAAGTAGTAGAATTCTGTCATGCTTATATTTTAATTTTGTATTTAGTCATTTTAGCAATTTAGAGGCTCTGTATAATAATGTGCTCATGCTGTGTTTAATCTTATGTAAAATCTTTTGAAACGTTCATTTCTTTTGATGGTCCACAAAATAAAATTTTTGTTTTGTTTTGTTTTTTTTCAGTTGCAACTTTGCAAACGGACTTTTTGGATTTTCATTCAAAAAAACTATAAAAAAAAATTATAAGGCAATTTGGTGATTATAGGCCTTAATTGGATTTAAAAAAATTTTTTTAATTGACATATCTTAGTTGTATGTATTTTGGAGTACACGGTGATGTTTTGATACATGTATATGATGTGTAATAATCAAATCAGAGTAATTGGGACATCCATTGTAAGAATAACCCTTAACTCTTAATGAAGTTTTGCCTGACTTGCTGTAATGGACAGGAATTTTTTTCTGTATCACCAGTATACCAACACTTTGAGGAATAGGTATCATGAATTATAATATGTATAACACAGGTCTAATTACCTTCAATCACTAATTCCTTTTCTATAAGAAATAGAAAACTTTTCGAGCCACCAGTGGCTACAGGCAAATTTGGCAGGAACTTTTTTGAGATGGAGTCTTGCTCTGTCGCCAGGCTGGAGTGAGGCACGATCTTGGCTCACTGCAATCTGTGCCTGCTGGGTTCAAGAGATTCTCCTGCCTCGGCCTCCTGAGAAGCTGGGACTACAGGCATGTGTCACCACACCCAGCTAATTTTTATATTTTTAGTAGAGATGGGGTTTTACCATGTTGGCCAGGATGGTCTGTATCTCTTGACCTCATGATCCACACACCTCGGCCTCTTGTAATGCTGGGATTAAGCCACCATACCAGGCCAGGAACATTTTTTAAAGTAGAGATTGTGAAAAGGTTTTTGTTTTGTTTTGTTTTTTGGTACTTTGAAAAGGTAACAGAATTAGTTGTTTTTTGCTTTTAAGATGTCAGAAACTTAAAATGTGTAAAAATAGGGAGCAAAGACACTTTAAGAGGACATACATTCTTGTGTTATAACCATTAACATCTATAGTCTTTAAAATAAATTGGCATTTTATCGGAAAAGCTAATAACACTTTTTGTGTTGCCCCTGCTGTGCTGTCTTCTTTCAAGCTGGATTACTGTGCAAGCTTGAAGAATCTTGAAACCATTTCTAACAAACAGAACTACAAATTTATACAGGTATGAACATTTTCTTAAAATTGTACTGGGCCTCTTTAGTCATGCAGGGGTTATAATATCTTTTTACTTTGCAAACTTGTGTAATATGGGCTTGAAAGGCACACTAATTAAAGACCTTTTAAAAGATGAGGTAGTTAATTTCCAAAAGTACCATGTGCTCTAGAGGATACCATTTTTGATTGACAACACATAAAAAGCTACATGTGATCTTTGGTACCTTGGCAGATCTACTAGCAGCAAAGTTGATTTATATGGTTTGTGTTTTAGTTCCTCCCTAGTCTTTCCCTATGAAGGTTGATTGACTCTGGAAGTTTGACTCTTACCACTTTTAGACAAGTTCAAAGTATAAACCACATGACTTGTTCATTAATTTGCAAAGGGAAATGTTATTGTCAAATGAAACTATCTTATGATATATGAATTTTAAAAGTTATTCTATAAACTGTCTTTTTAAGTACAAACTTAATATACTAACAACCGTTTCATAATTCTATTCTGTATGATGGTATTTTCTTTAGGTGCTGAAGAATTGTTGAGAATACATATTTTTAGAAGATTAAATGTACATATAAACATCAGAAGTATCATAATTTTACTTAACTGTGATAAAATGTGTTTTCAAAATATCATTTCAGTTGTTACACTATTTTTTGGAGTCAGAGTCTCGCTCGGTCGCCCAGGCTAGATCGCAGTGGCACAATCTCGGCTCTCTGCGACCTCCACCTCCCGGGTTCAAGCAATTCTCCTGCCTTAGCCTTCTGAGTAGGTGGGATTACAGTCACCCACTACCACATCTGGCTAATTTTTATATAGAGACGGAGTTTCACCATTTTAGTCAGGCTGGTCTCGAGCTCTGTACCTCAAGTAATCCGCCCTCCTCGGCTTCCCAAAGTGCTAGGATTATAGGCTTGAGCCAGTAAGCCCAACCTATGATATATTTTAATAATGGTTATCACAAAGGTTTTTTTAAAAATGCTAAAAAAAAGTTTTTTTATTAGTATAGTGGCCTTGGGTTGGCAAAAATATTGTGGACAACACTAGTATGGCAGTTAGTAGTTGTTGGTGCTCATTAAAATATTTGGAAAAATAGTTTGAATTAAGTATCTAATATCCTAAGATGCTGGAGAGATAACATCATTGCTATACTTGTTTGAGCACTTAGTGGAATTTTCAAGACATTCTAAATTAAACTTCTCTAGTGGGAAGTAGGGGGATGTTATAGTAAAAATGGTTATGAATGAGAGTGCCCAATGAAACCTAGCCCTTTTATGTTTGCTTTTTCACATAGGGTGACATATGTGATTCTCACTTTGTGAAACTGCTTTTTGAAACAGAGAAAATAGATATAGTACTTCATTTTGCTGCACAGACACATGTAGGTAAGCATTGCTTTATGTTACAGTTATGATTGGCAGATCCCCCACCTCCACCTGCTGTGGTTAACTAACCTAAATCCAAAGTCCAATAATGGAGTTAAATAAGTAGGTACAGTAGAAAAACAAGCCCATAGTCACTATGTTATCAATAAACTCACCACTTTTTAGATACTTTTATTAGCCTTGTGAGGGTGTATTAGTGAAATACAACCTTGAATGCTGTCTGAAAACTTGAGTTTAACCAATTCAGGATAATGAAGGGGAGCAATGGAGAGATGGACCTTCAACTGTATTTTTACGTTGTTTTTCTTAAGTTTTGTGGTGGGTATGCAGATGAACATTATTTATACCATTTTGTGAATTTTAGATATTTATAATAATTTGACTTTTATTATGAAATATATTTGAAAGCATTTTGAAGTACAATTAAATAATGATAATGTGAGCACCCAGGTATCCATCATCTGAACAAAAGATAGAATATTGCTGAATCCTCTTCAGTAGTAAGTACTACTGCTGCCTGTTAGATTTAAAGTTATAATTTTATTTGCTTTTCTCTACACTTTTGCTGTCTATACATTTATCCCTAAACAATATAGCTTAGCTTAGGCTGTTTTTAAGTTAAAAAAAAATATATATATATATTTTTATATATATATATATAAAATGATATGTAAAGGTTTTTTTGTTTTGTTTTTCTATGTGTATGTAGATTCATCCATGGAGTTGAATACAGATATGGTTTGTTTGTTTTCAGTGTCATAATATTCCCGTCTAAAAATATATACATACATATATATACCGTAGTTAATATACTTTATTCTTGATGGGCATTTGGGTTCTTTACACTTTGGAGCAGTTTTGAACACTGCTACCATGAACATGTATCATGAGACGTAAGTATACATTACACTTGGATGTGTAACTGAGATCATAAGATCTGTATACGTCACATTGACATAATGTCAAACTATGATCCAAAGTAATTATACCAACTTCCACTCCTCCAGAAGTGTGTGACTTCCTGTTGCTCCAGATCTCACCAGAGCTTAAGTTTCTCAGTCTTTCCATTTTGCCAAATCTCAGTGCCGTGTAGTGGTGTCTCATGTTTCTAATTTGTATTTTCTCTGATTACTAATAAGATTAAGTATCTTTTATATATTTTTTTTGTAATTTGAATTTCTTCTTTGTGAAATGCTGTTGAAATTTTTTGTCCGTTTTAAAATGGAATTGTTTACCTTTTTCCTCATTGAAAGAGAAGTTTCAATGAGAAAAAATGGCACTTAGAGTTTTGATATATTCGGGACACTAGCTCTTTATCATTATGTATGTTACAGATGTCTTCTACTCTGTATGGCTGGTCTTCTCACTTTTTGATAGTACGTTTTGATGAACAGACGTTTTCAATGTTAGTGTAGTGAATGTACGTTTTTTCCTTTATGCTTAATGCTTTTTTCAGTTCTTACATACTCCTCTCCCCCAAGGTCATGAAGATATATTTTTCTATATTTTCAAAGCTTTATAATTTTATCTTCTACATTTAAATTTGTAATCCATCTGAAATTAATTCTTATGTAACACCAATTTCATTTTTTGTATGTATGAATACCAATTGTTCCTCTCCCACTTACTGAAAAGTTCATTCGTTTCTACTCTGTGTCATATCAAGTTTATTTGATATCTCTGTCTCTTTTCATTTTTTGTCCCTATCTGTCTGATTCCCCACTATATTGACAAATACAGTGATTTCATGTCTTTTAAAGCAAGTCTTTCTACTTGGTCAATGATAAAAGCAGTTGTGCTTCTGCCAGCAATTTATGAGATGCTTGCCAACACTCGCTGTGTCGATTTTGCGGTTTTGTTTTTCTCTGATGAGATTAAAAACCTTTTTCATTTGTTTACTAGACTTTTCTTCTCTTTCTTATTAGTATGTCCTCTTTGGAAAGTTTCTGTTTAAGTTTCGTGACCATTTCCTATAAGGTTGTCAGTTTTTTCCTTACAGATTTTTATAATTCCTATGTATATTTTGGATTCAAGCCTTTTGCAACTACCTTTTTTTCAGTCTGCTTTGCCTTTTCCCATCCGTAATGGTGTCTTATTATTAGTGAAAGTTCTTAGTTTCCATGTGGTTCAGTTTATCTTTACTTTTCTTTAGGGTTAGTGCTCTTTCTGTCTTGATCAAGAACTCGTTTCCTACCTCCAAGGTGAGGGACATGTTATCTTACAATTCTTTTCTTAAAAGTTACTGTTTTTCCTTTGACATTTAGATGTCTTCCCATATTGATATCAGTTTGACTCAAAATCATTTATTGGAAAGACTTGACTCTCCCTCATTGTCACTTTTGTCATGGTCAAATGTTTATATATGTATGCTTCTATTTCTCAGCTCTGTTTGATTACATTGGTCTTTGTGCTTATACTGTTACCATTCCATCTTAATCACTGTAGCTTTATAATAATTCTTTAGACTGTACAAATTTTTATATGGTCAAATTTATAAGCCTCTTTGATTATTGCTTCTGAATTGTGAGTATAATTAAAGTTTATTCCATTTCCTGGTTATGGAGGGTCTGTTCTTTTAAGGTGAATTTATTTTAAATAACTCATTCAGCATTTACTGCTTTCGGCAGTAACAGATTGATCTGAAAAGCCTAGTCCTGTAATTCATAATTTTTAAAAATTTAAGAACATTTTAAATTTAGATGTATCATTTTTTAAAGTTTCTTCCTTATAGAATAAAAAACAGTTTTCTGCAAATTTAACACTGATAGTTTTCTGGGTTCTAAGAATTTACATGTATTGTGTAATTTAGGTTTTAAGAAATCATAAATATCACTGCCTGTGTGTGTTATTACTACAGCTGTTGCAGCTGTGGTATGAAGAGCAGTGAAAGGTACTCTCCTTAAACCTGAGTTCAGCATTTGGCATTTGTTTTATCTCTTGGGTAGACTTGTTTTAGCTTTTCACTCTTTGTTTTTTAGATCTTTCATTCGTACGTGCCTTTGAGTTTACCTATGTTAATGTTTATGGCACTCACGTTTTGGTAAGTGCTGCTCATGAAGCCAGAGTGGAGAAATTTATTTATGTCAGCACAGATGAAGTATATGGTGGCAGTCTTGATAAGGTGAGCTTAGTTTTCTAACTACTTACCATCTACCATGATACAGTTCTATTAAACCTACAATGGGCTTTTTTCATCCTCAAATTAGGTACACTGTGACACTCTTCAGAGTTCTAGAGGGACAGAACTGATAGAATATATATATATATTCTATCACATGATCATAAGGTCCCACAATGGGCCATCTGCAAGCTGAGGAGCAAGGAGAGCCAGTCTGAGTCCCAAAATTGAAGAATTGGAGTCCGATGTTCGAGGGCAGGAAGCATCTAGCATGAGAGAAAGATGTAGGTTGGGAGGCTAGGCCAATCTAGTCTATTCATGTTTTTCTGCCTGCTTTATATTCTAGCCATACTGGCAGCTGATTAGATGGTGCCCACTTAGATTGAGGGTGGGTCTGCCTTTCCTAGCCCACTGACTCAAATGTTAATCTCCCTTGGCAACACCCAGGAGCAATACTTTGCATCTTTCAGTCCAGTCAAGTTGACACTTAGTGTTAATCGTCACAGAATGTTATTCCATGTTTCCTCTGTTCAGATCAAGTGATACCACCCCAAATAGGAACAACAGCCTAGTCCTGATAGAGATATATTTGTTAATTTTTTCATGCCCCAGAAATCTCTTTAGTTACAGATTTATTTGTAATTTTGCAAGAGAATTGTAAGGTCCAGCCCTACAAGTTTCTGTGAGCCCCTCCCAGCTGGTGCGGAGATGAGAAATTGTAGAAATAAAAGGCATAAGACACAGAGATAGAGAAAAGAGAGTTTGGGCCCAGGGGTCCACTGCTACCCAAATCGTGGAGACCAGCAGTGGCCCCAAAGGCTGGGACACTCTCACATTTATTGAGTTGCAAATCTGGGGGCAGGGTAGGTAGGGCGTGGCCTTGGTGGTCGGAGACTGGGGGAAAGGTAGATAGGGCATGGCAGTGATAGGGTCAAGTATATCACGTGTCATTCAGGTACGGGCTCAGGAATTTCTGGCACCCAAAGTGAGGTAAGGAGCATAATGCATCAGCATTTTTTCCATACTTATCAAGAAAGAACTAAAACATTAAAATTTATATTACTATTACTGATTATCTTTTCTAAGAAAGAAGGAACCAGGTGCAGAAGCAGGACATGAGAGTAGACATGGAACGTGGCCACTGAGGCACAGCATCATCACATAGAGACAGTTAACCCCCGGACATCTGTGGGCCTCCCTGACAGCCCTCAGGCCCTACCACAAGAGCTTGGAGAAGCAGAGTTTTCTCCATATTTCCCCAGGAAGGAGATGTCTCGGCCATTTTGGACATCTCCTTCCCTAGCTGGTTAAACAGCAGGCGCTTTCACAGTGCTGGCGCTGCTGCACAGCCGAGGCAACCTCCAGCAGCCCTCATACGGGTGTGACAGAGGGCTTAAGGCATCTTGCCTTAGTGTCATTCATTTCACACTGTCGGCCGGGCGCAGTGGCTCAAGCCTGTAATCCCAGCACTTTGCGAGGCCGAGGCAGGTGAATCACGAGGTCAAGAGATTGAGACCATACTGGTCAACATGGTGAAACCCCGTCTCTACTAAAAATACAAAAAAAGTAGCTGGGCATGGTGGCGCGTGCCTGTAATCCCAGCTACTCAGGAGGCTGAGGCAGGAGAATTGCCTGAACCCAGAAGGCGGAGGTTGCCGTGAACCGAGATGGCGCCATTGCACTCAAGCCTGGGTAACAAGAGCAAAACTCCATCCCCAAAAAAAAGAAAAAACAAAAACATTTCACACTGTCACCCCAGGTTCACACTTCCGACCTGAGAGGTGTTAGTAAAAGAATTAAGATCACCTATGAATAACTAAGATTACATATGAATAATAACTACTATGGTATATTTCTAGTTACTTTATTTATATGGAAATAGGCTGAGGCCTTTTGCTCCAGTGCTGATGGGATCTCCCCACTACAGTGAAATGCAGATCTCACCTTTTTGTCCCACTCTTGCAAATGTGATAAATATCATTCCATGGACCAGAGCATAAGTGAGTGCAGCTGCAGCACACTGCTTGTTCATCTTTCCCTTTCAGTCAGGAAAACATGTTGGAATGCCAAGGACACAGTGTAAAATTCTTGTATAAACCAGAATCTATTTTTTTAATAAATCGTGCATAAATATTATGGTTTTTAGGCAAAGAAGACTTCATTGTCCAATCTATAGTGTTGATAGTTAGTGTTTGCAGTGACCTCATTTTATTTTATGATTTTTTATTTATTTTGCCAGAGCACATAGTGAAAAAAAATCAAATAGTCCAAAAAGACTTACAGTGAGAAAAAGTAGACCTTGACCACTTCTCAGTTCTCAATTTTGCTTTCAAGAGGTACCATTTTCAATTTTCTGCAGTTTTTATCTTCTTTCTTCATGCACACTGCCACCCTACATCAGCTCCGACACAGTAGCCAGAATGATTTTTAAAATATAAGTCAGACCTGGTCAAAATCTGTTGTTGTTTTATGGTGGCCCTCAAAGTTTTGGCCTTCCTCTAGCTCTCTGACCTCCTCTTCCATTGTCTCTCCCCTCACATCAGCCTGCCTGCGGCTCCTTTGGACACGCTTCTGTCTCAGGGCCTCTACACATGCTGCTCTCTCTCTCTCTCTCTGCTATCTAGGATTGTTGTGCATGTTAAGGAAGTTACTACATGTCCTTGGGAAAACACCAGGCACATAGATTTAAGAAGTGGCTTTTAAAATTTGGTGATTGACATTTCAAGTTTTAATCTGTGCTCTGATTTTTATACTTAAAATATGCATAATACTTTTTTTAATATATATTTTTAAAATTAGGAATTTGATGAATCTTCACCCAAACAACCTACAAATCCTTACGCATCATCTAAAGCAGCTGCTGAATGTTTTGTACAGTCTTACTGGGAACGATATAAGGTAAGAACTGATTGCAGAAGCTCTTGAAACATTTTCCATTTTCCTAAAGATATTTAATTTTTTTTTTATTCTTTGGAGACACTCTTGATCTGACAGTCAGGCTGGTCTCAAACTCTTGACCTCAAGAGATCCACCCACCTTGGCCTCCCAGAGTGCTAGGAGGATTATAGGCATGAGCCACACCCAGCCCAAGTCAGCTTTTAGCAGCATGCTTAGAGTAGAAGGCATAAATTGGGAAAATGTATATATTATAGAATTTTAAAAACTAATTTTTTCTATTTTGTGGACAAAGTAGGACCTACCCCTTATTCAGTTCATCATTAAGGGAATAATTTGAATATATATTTTTTTCTATTTCAGTAATAGGTAGAATGTCACAGCTATAGTCAGAGTGCTGTTGGAGTCCTTTGAGTGGAGGAAGAGGGAGGACAGATCCCCTTTCTGCCGATGTGCTTCTCTGCATGATTCTGCTTTCGTGGCTCCTCATGAATGGGAAGTAGACTTGCCCCTGGTGGCTCTGACACTGTCAGTAGGGGAGCCTTACCCGTATGAATCCTCATCTTGAATCTCCTACATTTGGCTTTCTGCTGTTTGTGCGTTATTAGGGACTGGGTCAGAGAGGCAAGCCTTGAAATTCCTAAAGATTCTCTGACCATTTGGGTTCTGGTGGCATCAGTCCTTTTTACTTTCATAGTAGCTCTTTTTATTTGTAGGGATTGGTACAATGAAGAGAGTCCTTGAGGTGGTTTTTAAAATAATCAGCTAAAAAGTTCTTCAGACTTACAAACATGTGCCATCTATACTCATCTTCTTGTACTAATAAAAGAATGTTCGTCTTCTTCCTTTTGGAACCTCTGCCTTTATCTGAATCCTGTCTTCTCCATTTTAGAAACCTTGCATTAGAAAAATATCTCTTCCCTTTGACCTTAAGGTGTGTGGAATTATTTAGGCAAAAGTGTCCATATTTTGAAATTCTGCTCATCTTTAAAATAATCATTATTATTAGACTTTTCAAAAGCCTTAATGTTGAATATTCTTTAAGTTTCCAGTTGTTATCACAAGAAGCAGTAATGTTTATGGACCACATCAATATCCAGAAAAGGTAAGCTTTACTTCTGAATTCATGGTATTTTTCAGTGATTGCAACTTCTCATTATTTGAAATAACCTCTCTTCAGTTGTTTAAAATAATATGTTGTAAGTTACACATAATTTTATATGCCGTATAACACCACATGCAGATTCCTTCAGATGTAGAGTTTGAATTCTTGGGTTTTAATTCTCAAGCTGGCTGACACTCACCAGCTGGCTTCAACACTTAGCAGGGATTTTGAAGGATCCAGTGAAAATGATATATGTGAAAATACCTTGTGCTTTTAAAGACTCTAAAGCATCACTACTGACATGCTGTAGCTGACTCCCTGTTTGCAGTCAGACCAGTATGTCAGGGTATACAGAAAGTCAAAAGCTCACTAGATAGTGATGCAAGAAGCTTGCATACATTAACTGTGCCTCAGCTCATCTTTATTGTGTAGGCATGAATGTCTTCCAGAAAGTGCTACAAGTAATGAATTTAAAAATGTAGTTTAGACGCTGAAAATGCCTGTGCAGTTGGTTCTATATCATCAAGGGTGATTTTATGTAACTTTGGCCACTCTGCCTAAATTTGGAGACTGGGTTTTCTTGCTTCCTAGCTGGTTGGATTGATCTGTTTGCCCAAAGGAAAGGGCCATGTCATGAACTGCAGGTATTAATATTTACTTTGCTTAATTTTTCTTTGACTCCAAGAGCACTGGAAGTTACTTTCTATAAATTCAGCAAGCACTTAATGCATAGGTGCTATATGTAAAGCAATAAGAGACAAATATTTGCCCTTATAAAGTCAGCACAAAGTGAACTTCGTGATGAGACCAACTGTTTGATGAAGACTTTTTCTGCATTTTTCCACTATTCAGATCATTTGGTCTTCAAGTAGTCTGTCTTTATAAAATAGCAACCTTAGAGTTCTTTTGCTTATCAAATATTATAGTAGGTTTTTTTATGAACTGATAAAAAGAATTAGAAGCAATCCATATGCATATTTCTTAATCTTTTTATCTTATGACAAGTTCAGATTCATACTAATGAGTAAATTTCCAGTCTGATTTAAATATTCTTTTAGGTTATTCCAAAATTTATATCTTTGCTACAGCACAACAGGAAATGGTATGTAATTATTTACCTTTTTACCCATATGCTTTTTTTGGTATGTTAGAGTATTTGGTGACACTCGTTCTTGAATATCATAAAGTCTTAGAGGCCATAGAATTGAATGTCCCACTAAATGTAAGAATCATTTCTCCAGTGTAATAGTTTTTAAAATAATCTGTATCTTGTTTTTATAATTTACTTGTTGAGAGAATGTCAAATCTTAATGACCTATCACAGAACTTTGAGTTATAGCATTAAAATTTGAAAGCTATTTTTATATAATTTTACTTTCTCAAAGGCCTTACTTAAGTCATAGAACTGTAGCTATTTCTTTACAACAAACTTATGGTATAAAATTAAATACACATTTCACAGGGGTCACTGATATGTTTGCCACTTTCCTACTGAGTACCCTTGGAGAGTTTAGAGGTTATTTAAGAAATAGGAACAAAATTTAGAAAAGCTATGATAATTTGTATTTTCAGTAAAAGATTCTGAGATCCCCATGGGAATTGGCTTCTCTGGAGTTGTACCTAGTTGATGCTTTAGGAGAGCTTACCTTTTTACACTTACGATTTCACTTCATTTAATCTCTAGTTGCATTCATGGATCAGGGCTTCAAACAAGAAACTTCCTTTATGCTACTGATGTTGTGGAAGCATTTCTCACTGTCCTCAAAAAAGGGAAACCAGGTGAAATTTATAACATTGGAACCAATTTTGAAATGTCGGTTATCCAGCTTGCCAAAGAACTAATACAACTGGTATGTATCTGTTTAAAAGGGTGGTATTTTCAGAATTGTTAGTGGCAGTAACCATTAATTTAGGCAAAATCAATAGCATACAGTTTACTTAATTTAAAGGTAAGCAAGTAGAAAATGAAATTAATGTTTATGTTTACCATTTATATCTTAAGTTGTATCATCTATTTAGTAACAGCTTTTCAGGAAAAAATAATTCATTAAATGTGCATTCCCTAATTGTAAGATACAACTCATTTTCAGAAATATAAAATTGTGTCTTAAAATAAGTAACAGTGATATATAAAATAATTATATTAGTAATTATGAATATCCATATATATATGAATATACATCTGTACTGTTAATAGTTATGAATATCCATAGGGGACATCAATTATAAATCTTAGTTTAATATAAAGAGGGACTGAACAATAACCAAAATCCAATGTGTATCTCTGAGCTTCAGATGGAATTTAGGTTATAAAGTATAGAAAGTGTTACTAAAATGATGTTCATTTTAGCTGTCTTCCCTGCTGAGAAGCAGTTATTTTCTTTTTAATCAGCCATTAAATACCATTGTTATTCTCTGATCTCATTTTATAATTTGACTCAAAAGCCGTCTCCATTTTGACAGATCAAAGAGACCAATTCAGAGTCTGAAATGGAAAATTGGGTTGATTATGTTAATGATAGGTGAGTAACAAGTTACTCCAAGTTAAAACACTGGGGAAAGGTTGTGAAATCTTAGGTACTTATAAAATCATAAAATATGTGGACTTGACCAATAACTACTTTATCTCTTTTGAATTTTCTGGCAAAACATTTTTTTCCATAATTATAAATGCCATACAGATTAAGTATAGCATTATTACCTACTAGCTATGTGACTTAAAAATTATTGACCTTTTCCAAGTCTGAAGTTTCAAACCTCCAGAGTGAAATAGGGATAATAACGTCTTTCTTATAAAAGTATTTTAACATTTATTTATAATGCATGTGAAATACCTGACCCAGGGCCTGGCATATGAGTCCTAATACATTTTATTTGTTTGTTCATTCATTGAACGTTTATAGAGTTTTTTTATGGCCAGGTACTTCACTTATATCTAGATCGTGGCTGAAACAAGAAGATAAGACACAGAGGGTTAGGCACCTGGTATTATGGATGATTTTTTTTTTTTTAACTATATACTTGATTTTAACAAATTTTCTGCAAAAAACCTATTGGAAATTTGTGTAAAGAGAAAACTTGGGTTATGGTAAAAATGCATAAACACATATCTCCTAGTATCTAAATTTGTAAATATATATCTACAATGTCATTTTAAATCTGTTTTGTTTTCCAAGACCTACCAATGACATGAGATATCCAATGAAGTCAGAAAAAATACTTGGCTTAGGATGGAGACCTAAAGTGCCTTGGAAAGAAGGAATAAAGAAAACAAGTATGTTATGAATTAATCATTTTGGGGGCAAGTCAGAAAAATTTAAAGGAAAAATAACTTATTCCCAGAACATTATACAAACCACTGGAATACTGTGTTGAATCATTTGTTCTTTTCAAAATGCCACCTTGCATATATTTCTACTCAGAGTCCTATGTTTTCTAAACATCTTGAATTTTTATAAACCAACTTCCGATCAGCCTTCCCATATCTTGTTAGCATTAATAATATACCTATGTCATTGATTCTGAGGTACATATTTTTTTACTTTCTTCGCACTTCTGAAAGGTGTGTCTTCTTATAATCACTGGTGCCTTATAATTATTATTGCAGCTTTTTTTTCTTTTTTACATATATGTGAAATAGTGATCCATCAGTGGCATCTTAGATTTGATGAAATATGAATGCAGTCTTTTTTGTGTCTTGAGGCTTGTTATATTGAAACCAACAAAGGAAATAAATTTAGTATGTGCAGAAAAATCTATTAAAATAAGTACCTGTACAGTCGGTGCGTATATGTTAAAGCACTATTTAGAAATGTATTCATGAGAAAGCTCTACCTAGATGTAGAAAAAAGAAGTGTTGATTCAGAGCTTGGAATACAAAATACTTAAGTCAAATATTAAAAAAAAAAATTTTAATTATCAGATTTCTTTTAAAAAGCTTTTACTGGTGGCATAGCAATTTAAAATAATTTCAAATTAAAAAATTTTTTTTGAGACAGAGGTTTGCTCTTCTTGCCCAGGATGGAGTACAGTGGCGCCAACTCGACTCACTGCAACCTCTGCCTCCCAGGTTCAAGCGATTCTCCTGCCTCAGCCCCGAGTAGCTAGGATTACAAGCATGTATCACCACACTTGGCTAATTTTTTGTATTTTTAGTAGAGATGGGGTTTTACCATGTTGTCCAGGCTGGTTTCCAACTCCTGACCTCAGGTGATCTACCCTCTTGGCCTCCCAAAGTGCTGGGATTACATGTGTGAGCCACTACACCCGGCCACTTTCACATACCAATAAAAGGAAGCTGCCATGTGTAGTGGCTCACATCTGTAATCAAAGCACTTTGGGAGACAAAAGTGGGAGGATCCCTTGAGGTCAGGAGTTGGAAACCAGCCTGGGAAACATAGTGAGACCCTGTCTACAAAAAGTAAAAAAATCAGCAGGGCATGGTGGCACATGCCTGTAGCTATTTAGGAAGTTGAGATAGGAGGATCTCTTGAGAGCAGGAGTTTGGGTTTATAGTGAACTATGATTGCACCACTACACTCTAGTCTGGGTAACAGTGAGACCTCATCTCTTACAAAAAAAAAAAATACAAGGAAGTTCACATAATCTCATTGTGCCTCTGATGCAGTGTTACCATATTTATGTGACCAAACACTGTATTATACTTTACTATATAAAATCACCTTAAAACCAGGGCAGATGACTTATTTCCCATACCCCAAATTTCTTAAAATCAAAATGTCTCAAATATCTGTACCAACAAGTTTAGTATTGAATGACTTTTGAAGTTAAAAAGAAAAAAAATGGTTGACTTTTTTGGCCGGGCGTGGTGGCTCACACCTGTAATCCCAGCACTTTGGGAGGCCGAGGTAGGAGGATCACGAGGTCAAGAGATCGAGACCATCCTGGTCAACATGGTGAAACCCCGTCTCTACTAAAAATACAAAAAATTAGCTGGGCATGGTGGCGCATGCCTGTAATCCCAGCTACTCGGGAGGCTGAGGCAGGAGAATTGCCTGAACCCAGGAGGCGGAGGTTGCAGTGAGCCGAGATCGCGCCATTGCACACCAGCCTGGGTAACAAGAGCGAAAGTCTGTCTCAAAAAAAAAAAAAAGGCTGATTTTTAATTCTAAATTTTTTAGGTGATTTAAATGTCTTCTGAGTAACTTCATTGTTAACTTTAAAATCAAATTGTTTATATTATTACGTAGCCCTTATCTGCTGCTTAGCTGATGGGCAAGACTTAGCTGGCAGGAACTTAGTAAATGTTGGTTAACTGATGTTTGGTCTCTCTTTCTTTCTTTCTTTCTTTCTTTTCTTTTTTTTTCTCTTTCTCTCTATTTCTCTCTCTCTTTCTCTCTTTCTTTCTGTCTTTTGTTTTTTCCTACTAGTTGAATGGTACAGAGAGAATTTTCACAACTGGAAGAATGTGGAAAAGGCATTAGAACCCTTTCCAGTATAATCACCATTTATGTAGTCAGGACAGTTGTCAAGGGAGAAAATTATCCTACCTCCGCAAGTGATATGAAGTCAAGTGGCAAATGAAGTGCTCTCTTTTCATTTGGAATTAGATTCATGACTTTTTCTATAAAATTCAAATGCAGACTGCCTCAATCTTTGGGAGAGTTTCAGTACTGGCAAAGGATTTAAATGTCAAAATTCTTTCTGAAACGCTTGTTCCTGGAAACTAGGAAATAGCAGGCGTAGAAGACTCTCCCTAAGGGGAGCCAGGAAGAAGTCTTCTGGTTCTGACAACCGTGATGGGTAATGGTGCCAGACAGATGGCAGCCTTCACTGGTTTTGAACTCAGCTTCCCAGCCTATCCCAGTACCTAAGAAACTCTCTGAAGTGTTCGTTTTTAGGCAATATAGGATGAGTCTTATGCCCTAATTCACCTTTTCTAAGATCCGATTAGCTATCATTGCTTTAATAGTGGAACAAAATACTAGCATATCTAGCACTTTTTAACTTTTGATAATTTTGTAAAATTGATTACGTTGAATACTTTTCAAGAATGTAAAGTTTTTATATTTTCACAATTCATTGTGAATAAGTTGACCTATATAAAACCTTGTATCAGAGAAATTTATCATGTATTTACTGTTTAAAATGATTTTATTTATAAAATTGTCAATATCTGAATGTATTTAATGTAGAATATGGCTTTTTAAAATAATACATTTTTGCTATAGAAAAATTTAAAAACTTGAGTATGTATTTTTAATCCTTCTTTGCCCTAAAGACTTTACAATGACATGAAAAAGTAACTGGCTACTGGGTGGAGAAAGGGAAAAGAAGCTGGGTGACCCTCGATTAAGAATGCAGATTGTGTTGTGGAGGCTTCATAATTCCTCATTAGAAAGTCTTACACTTTAAAAATAACCTTAATACCAGCCTCCTGTGTGCTTAGGGGTCCCTAAGTCCGTACCTCTTCTGTTCAGTTTCTCGTTTCCCCTTTCTAGAGAGAAAGGGAGGAAAGACTAGTGTGTCAGTTGAGTCTTTCAGGAAGCAGATGCTGAGACAACGTAATGCCTATAACGATAAAAGAGGGAGGAAGCAAAATGGAGCAGGCTGTGCAAGCAGGAAGGCGAACCCGTGTCCATTGTGAGAATCAGCTACTGGCCTTTCACAGTGGAAAGGGCCCAGTGGAGTTCATGGGCTACCAAGTAGCTGATGGGTTTCCTTGAAGAATAGTGCCATACTGGGGACTCAGCATTTGTCTCTGTTGCCAGCGGGTGTGATATTCACAGGTGGCAATAGCTCGGTTGGCCGTGGTAAGTGAGAATTCGTGCTGTGGGTCGCAAGAGTAGGGACCATCTGTACAGTGAGGCCTATTCCATTCAGATGTTCATCATGGTAGTTCTGGGGTGGCTGATGATGAAAGCTGACTAAAGTTAACTGACCAAGTCATTTAATCTACTGGATGGTTCAGTGCCTTTTGCTATGGTGGTTGCTTTCTAGTCATTGTTAACATGGAATATACAGATCTTCATACTCCCCATCCTCTCCCATAGATAGGCCCATCCACACTTCTCCAACCTTTACTTCCTTGTTTTCTGCTTCTCTACACTTCTTCCTTCTAAGCCCCAAAGTATCTAGCCAGGCTGCTGCTCATGACTAAATGTATATTCTCACCACAGGTCACTAGGATACATAGTGCATGAGCAGCTATACTACTTGAAGCTTTATTCTTTGAAAGGTTTTCTCTTTCCATATTCTTTTTAAGGCCACCCTGCATGGCTTTCGGGCAGCCACCCTCCATTGTTGGCTTTTATTCACATAACAGGCCAACCCATCTATAAACTAAGATCAGCTTTTTCTTCTTTCAGTTGGTTGTATGGGACCCTCTATGTGGCTACAGGTATAAAGAACTAATGCGGTGACATGGGAGTCTGGCCTACCTGCTCTTGCAATTTACTTATGCTCTCCCATTCTGCTCATGGTCGATCCCAGATGTGCCATTTCCACCTTCCAATGGACTGCTGCTGGCTCCACCTGCCTCTGAGCAGGTGAGCACATTACTCTGCCGGAGCTGCCGTAACAGAATATCAGAGACTGGGTAGCTTCCACAACAGAAATTAATTTTCTCACAGTTTGGAAGCTAGAAGCCCAAGGTCAGGATCAAGGTGTCAGCAGGGATGGTTTCTGCAGACGCCTCTTGGCCTGCAGGTGGCCATCGTCTGTCCTCACATGATCTTTACTCTGTGTCTAAATTTTCTCTTCTTATGAGGACACCAGACATATTAGATCAGGGTGTATTTTAAAGATCTCATTTTAATATACCTTTTAAAAGACTTTGTTTCCAAGTATAGTCACTTTCTGAGGTACTAGGGGTTAGTACTTCAACAGAAGAATTTGAGGGAGACACATTCCAGCCCTTAGCAGTGGGTCCAAGTGAACTTAGCACATATGGGCAGTTCTAGATGCATGGTCATTTGGTGTCCTGTGGTCAAGCATTCTGGCTCTACCATGGCACAGTAATTTGTTTTCCAAAAGCATGATTCTCCACTGTGCTTGGAATGGTCTTTCTCAGGTCTAACCATGAAAACTTCATGGTTATTCTCCACTGGGTCTCACCATAGAACCCACACTACATCTGTCTCTACCACTGACACCATCAGCACCATAGGGTTTACCACATCATGTAGCCCAAATGGCAGGAATGGTTGCACCCCACCTTAGACCTGCTGCAGACCTCTTTCCCGTCCTAGACCCCTCAAAGGTGGCAGCCTTTTCTGTCGCTCCATATAGGAGCTGGAGCAGTATCCCCAAGTGTGGCATGTGTGCCCTCCAGAACCCAAAGCTAGTCTCTGTTCTTTCTTTGTGAAAGGGGATAGAAGATAAAGCAGTTTGACCTCTATATGGAGGGCATGTTCTGGCACACCCTGACTGTTCGACTCCTAAAAACTTGACTGAAATCACAAGTCCTTGAATCTTCATCAGGTTATATCTCCACCTTCTGGGGTGAATGTGAATTACCAAAGCCATCAGGGTGCTAGCCACCTTTGCTAATTCTGCCTGATCAGCGTGATAGATGTGTGCCATTCTGCAGGACGTTCAGGAGACCCAAGTCTCCGAGAAGAGCAGAACTTACATAGCCCTAAGGTGAAACTGCAAATGCAGCCGGTTTCTGATCGTTTATGGTTGAGATGGAAAAGAACACGTTCAGCAGATCAGTAGCTGGATATTGTGTTCCAGGAGCCTTCTCATCTGCTTCAGCAAAGAAGATGCCACATGAGCACAGCAGCTACCATTGGAGGCTGGTATAAAAGTTTGGATATTTGTCTCCACCCAAATCTCATGTTGAATTATAATCCCTGGTGCTGGACGTGGGGCCTGGTGGGAGGTGTTTGGGTCATGGGGGAGAATCCCTCATGGGTTGACACTGTCTTTGCAATAGGAAGTCCTTGTGAGATCTGGTTGTTTACAAGTGTGTGATACCTACCCTGCCTCCCTGTTGCCTCTCTTTCTTGCTCCTGCTTTCACTGTGTAATGTGCCTGCTCCCAATTTGCATTCTGTGATGGGTAAAGCCTCCCAAAGGGCCGCCCAGAAGCCAAGGGACATCAGTGCTATGATTGTACAGCCTGCAGAACCAAGAGCCAATTAAACCTCTTTTCTTGTAAATTACCCAGTCGCAGCTATTTCTTTACAGCAGTACAAGAACAGCTTAATACTGAGCCGCCACTTAATTGAGCTGGCCTTGACTGCAGTCATTCCCCAGGATCTACCCAGTGCCAGCAGTGGCCAGATTGGTGAATTAGCTAGAGCTTTGGTGGGGGCCTCTCTGTATCCTTGAGATCCTCAAGGGTGGCATCATCTTTATCTCCTTCAAGGTGTGATTTTTGTGCTTTAAATTGAGACAGAGGATCTCACTATGTTACCCAGGCTGGTCTTGAACTCCTGGACCTAAGCAATCCTCCTGTCTCAGCCTTGGTTCGAAAGTGTTGGGTCATGGAGGCGAATCCCTCATGGCTTGACGCTGTCTTCGCGATGGTAAGTTCTCATGTGATCGCTGCTCCCAGCTGTGATTTTGTTTTTTATTTACACTCCCAACGAGGCAGGGGCTCAGCTGAGGCAGGTTTATTAAGTTTGCATAAGCCACGGTTAGGGCACTGGTTGGGAAAAGCTGGGATGCTGACACAAAGATGAGACTGAGTGGATTCCTTTAAAGATGTCTGCAGCTCTTAAACTATTAAACCCTGAGTTTGGTCTTGACCTTCTTCTGGTCTCCCACCTTATGATAAGGCTGTCACACCTAGTTGTCACTTATTTCTTGTTCTCAGCTTTTCCTTACACCTCTGGAGAGCATCAGTACAACTTTTTAAAGACCAACAATTCCACTGCCCTTGTAAGACTTGTTCTCCTGAGCTTTTCAAGTGCCTGAATTATTGTAGTAAGCAGGGCAAGGTGGTCCCCTTCCCAGGTACATTCTCCTGAGTCACCACCATGAAAGTTTTAGCAATTGCGTCGCTGCCTAATGCTAGGGACTATTTGTGCCCCCTGCGCCCCCCAGGATGATATTCTTATGACCAGCCAGGCAGAAAGGGATCCAGTCCAAACCCATCTTATCAACTGTTTTGTTCGATCACTCTTAGAAGTGACTGTGTCATTTGAGTCCTCTGGGAAGTAGTGGCTGAGGCCAAATTAGAGGTCCCAGTTTATTAATGGGGAGGGGAGTTGATGCTTGTGAAAGATATAAAAGGGAAGATGCATAATTGGGCAGGAGAAATCTTCAGGCTGCAGTGTAGATGAGACACCTGTGAAAAGGAAGGGGCGAGGACGAGGGTTGGCCTAGTGAGCCTCGGAATCTCACCCAGCTCCACAGGGGTCTGCAGAGCAAAATATCCTGAAAAATGTCCCACCTGGGCAGAAAGGGCAGGCTTTCCTATTGTGCACAGTCATTGGCCAGGGGCTACTTAGAAATGGCCGGGGGGATCCTGAAGGAATTGCAAGTGGAAGCTGCTGCTAACTGCACTCTTGCCAGCTAAATGGCAAGCTTTTTCTTAAAGGAAAATCAAAATGGTAGACCATTTAATTGCCATTTTTAGAGGAGAAGGGTTCTTGGGGTTTAATTGCCCTCTATACAGACTTTCGTAACCGAACCACTTGTTTTGTTGTTGTTTAAGGTGGAGTCTCGTTCTGTTGCCCACGCTGGAGTGCAGTGGCTCTGTCTCAGCTCGCTGCAGCCTTCACTTCCCGAGTTCAAGTGATTCTCCTGCTCAGCCTCCCGAGTAGCTGAGACTACAGACACGTTCCACCATGCCTGGCTAACTTTTTGTATTTTTAGTACAGACAGGGTTTCACTGTGTTAGCCGGGATGGTCTCAATCTCCTGACCTCATGATCCACCCGCCTTGACCTCCCAAAGTACTGAGATTACAAGCGTGAGCCACCGTGCCTGGCCGCACCACTTGCTTTTTATCCAATGCCTTGCCCTCCCCCACCTCCCTTACCTCCACCTTCATTGCCCCAGTTGCTGCCAGGTTCTGTAAACTCAGCTTACCTAATTTGGAGATTCCTAGAAGGCTTGCTAGAGATGACATTTGAGCCGTGACTTAAAGAATATGTGGGAGTTAGTGAGGAAGCTGAGCATGATTCCAGGCAAAAGGATCATCAGAGTGAAAGCACCAAGTTTTAAATAATGCTGTGTGTTCAGGGACCAACAGGCCATCAGTTTTACTCTAGCGTAGTCATTCCCAAAATGTGTCTTCATTTCATTAAGGAAATCAAAACTATAATGAGATATCATCTGACACTCCTCAGGATGGCTATTATTTTTTTTAAAAACACAGTGTCAGTGAGGATGTAGGGAAATTGGGACCTTGGTGCATTGCTGGTGGGAATGTGAAATGTTGCAGCCTCTGTGGAAACAATATGGTGGTTCCTTAAAATATTAAACATAAAATTTTAATACGATCCAGCAATTCCACTTCTAGGGATATATCCAAAAGAATTGAAGGCAGAGACTGAGATGCCTGCACACCAGTGCTCATGGCAGCAATATTCACAATAAGCCAGAAGGTGGAAACAACACAAATGTCCATCAACAGATAAATGGATAAAACAAAATGGCGTATACAATGGAATATCATTCCGCATGAAAAAGGACTGGAATTCTGACACTTGCTGCGACAGGGATAACCCTTGTAGACATTACACTTAGTGAAATAAGCAGACACAAAATGACAAAAGTGGTGTCGTTCCACTTAAATGAGGTTCGTGGAGTAGGCAAATTGATATAGTATCATAGGTTTACCAGTGGCTTGAGGGAGAAGGGAAGGAGGAGGTATGGTTTAATGTGTACAGAATTTCTGTTTGGATGATGCAAAAAGGCCTGAAACCAGACAATGGTGATGGCTGTAAACATTGAGTCTACCTAGTACCCCTGAATTGTACACTTAGAAGTGGCTGAACGTGACTTTTACATTATGTGTATTTTGCCATAATAATAATTTTTAAAAACGTGGCCCTGGACAGACAGCATTCACATTACCTGGGAACTTGTTAGAAATACAAATTCTAGGCTGGTTGCAGTAGGTCACACCCATAATCCCAGCACTTTGGGAGGCCAAGGTGGGTGGATCCTGAGGTCAGGAGTTCAAGACCAGCCTGGCCAACATGTTGCAACCCTGTCTCTACTAAAAATACAAAAATAAGCCAGGTGTGGTCGTGCACACCTGTAATCCCAGCTACCTGGAAGGCTGGGGCAGGAGAATTCACTTGAATCCAGGAGGCAGAGGTTGCAATGGGCCGAGATTGTGCCACTGTACTCCAGCTTGGGTGGCAGAGCAAGACTCTGTCTCAAAAAAAGAAAAAATAGAAATACAAATTCTTGGGCCCTACCCCAGACTTACAGAATCAGAAACACTGGCGGGGGGCGGGGAGGGGGCAGTAATTTTAATGCCCCCTAATGTTTGAAAGCCACTCTTCTGCAATGTGAGATGGGAAGATGAGGCTGGAGAGGAATGTGGTAGCCAGGTCATGGAGAGCCCTGTCTGCCATGGTAAGATGCTTGGACTTTATCCTACTAGCCAAGAGCTAATTCTGGATTTTAAGGAAGACATTGACATGGTTAGATTTGTAGGATTTATCTATTTTGTAGTTACAAAAATAACATGCTCATTATAGAAAACTTGGAAAACTAATCAATAAAAGAAAATCACCCATAATCTAACACTGGAAGATAATTCCTGTTAATATTTTGATGTATGTCATTTCAGTTTTTGGTGCATTTATACATAACATTTTAAAAACCAAGTAGAGGATCATAATGGACCTACTGTTATAGAGCCTCTTTTTTCATGTAGTGGTATATCATGAACGTTTTTACATATTATGAGATCTTTTGCCATTTTTATTGACTGCAGAATTACGTATTTGATAGCTTTTTCTGGCAATACTGTGGAAGATGAATTGAAGGAAGACAAGATTGAGTTCCTGCAGGGATTGAAGTTATGAAGGTGTTGCAGTAAATCAGGTGGGTGATGATAAGGCCTAAGGCACAGCACTGCAAACAGGGAGAGTCTGGGACAGACGTGGGAATGTTTCAGATGTAAAAACTTACTGACTGATGATACATTGGAGGTGCTGTTTCTTGACGTGGGTGGTGTTTTAAGGTTTTTAATGTTGGATTGGAAAGTGTGGAGGATAGTGGATTACATTTAGGAGATGTTGAGCTTGGGAGACGTTGAGCTTTAAGGGTCCATGGGACATGTTAAGTAGAGATACCTGGTCAACAGTGAGGTATGTGTATCTGAAGCTCAGACTGGTGGTGAGGGCTCAAGATGTAGAGATAGGTATTTGGGAGTTGAATGGCTATTAACATCTGAAAGTGGATTAAATCCCCCCAAGCAGAGTATATGGAATGACAGGGTTGATGGTTGGTGGAATGATTTACGGACAAGCCATGAGAAACACCAATATGTAAGTTGCAGGCAAGCAGCCCAAGGAAATTAAGAAGGAATGGTTAAAAAAAATCACTCCCACTGCTTCACTTGACTAGCCTTAAAAAACAATCCATCAATCAAATTTGAAATAAGAAAGAAGGAGTAGTCGGCCAGGCGTGGTGGCTCACGCCTGTAATCCAAGCACTTTGGAGGCCAAGGCGGGCGGATCACCTGAGATTGGGAGTTCGATAAAGAAGGAATAGTCGGAGGAGAGGAATAAGGGAAGAAATAATGCCACCAAAGCAAAACGAAAAGACGTTCAGTAACCAGCAGACGGCCAGCCAAAGTTCAGTAAGGCAAAACCAAAGTGTCCACTGGTTTTTGGCAACGTGGGGGCAAATTTTCTAGTGTGAGAAGAGGGAGAGAGCCTCTGGATAATACAGATGGAATAGTAATTAGGAATCAAGGGATAGAAAAATGGAATTTAGCCTTTCAATGAGCTGAGAAGAGTCAGGATGGGGCCATCCCTAAGGAAGGCACAGGCTTAAGGAAAGGTCTTCAGAAGCTGCTGTATTTTGTTTTTGGCATGGAATGGACTTCTGTATGATTATAAGCTGAAGAGATGAGCAATAGATGAAGAAAGATCAATGATATTCAGGAGTATGTAATTAATGGAGTACAGTGTCCATGGAAATGGGCTCCCTAGGGAAGGACTCATTTGGGGATGGGGTTGGTCTCATCTTTCTGGATCAGTAATGGCAGGAGTTGAGATGAGATTGGATACAGTGACTTTTTGGGAGGGATGTGAGGGAATTCACCATGGCCTCAATTTTGCTCCTGAAAGTGGGGGAGGCAACAGGAGATAAGTGAGTTTTGTAGTCTCAGAGGAGAATGAGAGCAGCAGCTCTATCACTGCCCAGTGAAGGTACAGCCACGTTCGAAGGCCATAAATTTATACTCTTACAACTACTGAAAAAATGCTGCATTGACCATCTCAGTGTACACCTGTGTGTACACAGGAGAGTGTATTTCTGAAGGATTAATGCCTAGATATGGTATATCTGGGTCCAAAAGTACGTGCACTTAACATTTGAACGATATAGATGAAATTCCTGCACTCTAGTCAGCCATGGGTATTAAAAGACCTTTAATTTCTGTCAGTGGGAAAGATGCAAAAATTGTTTTATTGCACTTCTAAAATCTCTAGAAGCTTGAGTCTCTCTTTGACCTCACCTGCAGATATTGAAGTTGTGCCCTCCATATTACCATCACACTGTACTCATACAATTTACCTGTTTATAGGTCTGTGTGGTTCACTAGACGTGGAGCTCCTGTGGGTGTAATCACCACCCTGTTCCCAGACCTAGATATTCAGCATTTTTATTCATTTACAGGTTTTTTAAAGAGTAGGGCGTTTGCCACTGTCTGTCTCTCAATTTCTCTCTCCCTCTCTCTCCTGCATCCTCCCTCCTCACACACATATTTTCTCCTCCCTCCACGCCCCAGGACGAATCTCTTGCATTTTTACACCCCATTTGACTGCATAAAGCTCACTTTCTCCTTCAGATCTCACACTGTAAGAAAGAGGTGAACCAGTTTTCCAAGTCTTCTGTCTGATTGCACTTTTGTTTTGTTATTGTTTAGAAAGACTGTTAATTCTCACTTTGGTGCTTCTTTATAGAAACTTCTATCCTTGATGAATTATTATTTGATCCTTCCTTAGCTTTAATAGCATTTTTAATACTGTCGTGTTTTATAGCTAAACTCACTATGCTTTAATTGCCATACTCTTAAAAATAATGTTACCCAGTGATAAACAATTATATTTTACCAATGTAACCTTTCTGTCCCAAATTTAGGAAGTGGAAGCCCCCTTTTATTATCTCTACTTAAGTAAATTTTGAAGAGCAAAAGAAGCAGTTCTAGTTCATCTATTTCCCCTGGCTCCAAACGACAGGCAGATCTCATTTTATTGTGCTTCACATTATTGTGCTTTGCAGATAATTGTGTTTTTCATACATTGAAGATTGGTGGCAACCGTGAGTCACGCAAGTCTATGGCACCATTTTTCCAACAGCATGTGCTTACTTCATATTTCTGTCACACTTTGGCAATTCTTATAACATTTCAAACTTTTTCATTATTATATCTATTATGGTAGTCTGTGATCAGTGATCTTGGGTGTTCCTAGAATAATTGTTTGGGGTACCACATATTATGCCCGTATAATATGGGCCAACTTAATTGATAAATGTTGTGTTATGTTCTGCTCTACTAATGGGCCTTTCTCCCATCTCTCTCCCCCTTTTTGGGCCTTCCTATCCCCTGAGACAATATTGCAATTAGTCCAGTTAATAACACTACAATGAGCTGGGCACAGTGGCTCACACCTGTAATCTCAGCACTTTGGGAGGCCAAGGTGGGTGGATCACCTGAGGTCAGGAGTTCCAGACCAGCCTGGCCAACATGACAAAACCCCATCTCTACTAAAAATATAAAAATTAGCCGGGTGTGGTGACAGGCACCTGTAATCCTAGCTACTCGGGAGGCTGAGGCAGGATAATTGCTTGAACCTGGGAGGCAGAGGTTGCAGTGAGCCAAGATCGTGCCACTGCACTCCAGCCTGGGTGACAAGAGCGAAAACTCCATCTCAAGAAAAAAAAATTAGCTGGGTGTGGTGGCACACATGTAATTCCAGTTACTTGTGAGACTGAGGCATGAGAATTGCTTGAACCCAAGAGGCAGAGGTTACAGTGAGCCAAGATCGTGCCACTGCACTCCAGCCTGGGTGGCAGCAAGACTCTGTCTCAAACAAACAAACAACAACAACAGCAAAACCCTACGATGGCTTCTAAGTTTTCAAGTAAAGAGTCACACATCTCTCACTTTAAATCAAAACTAGAATGATTGAGCTTAGTGTGGAAGGCATTTTAAAAGTCGACACAGACCAAAAGCTAAGCCTCTTGTACCAGTTAGCCAAGTTGTGAGTGCAAAGGAAAAGTTCTTGCAGGAAATTAACAGAGATGCTCTAGTGAACACATGAATGATAGGAAAGTGAAATAGCCGTATTGCTAATGTGAAGAAAGTTTGAGTTTTATAGATAGAGGATCAAACCATCCACAACATTTCATTTTTTTTTTCAGTTGGAGATGGAGTTTGTTTCTGTTACCCAGGCTGGAGTGCAGTGGCACGATCTCAGTTCACTGTATCCTCTGCCTCCTGGGTTCAAGCAATTCTCTTGTCTCAGCCTTCCAAGTAGTGGGGATTACAGGCGTCTGGCACCACACTCGACTAATTTTTGTAGTTTTGGTAGAGGCAGGGTTTTACCATGTTGGCCAGGCTGATCTGGAACTCCTGACCTCAAGTGATCTGCCTGCCTCAGCCTCTCAGGTGCTGGAATTACAGGTGTGAGCCACTGCTCCGACCCCATAACAATTCTTTAAGCCAAAACCTAATCCAGAGCAAGGCCCAACTCTTCAGTCCTGTGAAAGCTGAGAGAGGTGAGGAAGCTGCAGAAGAAAAGTTGGAAGCTAGCAGAGGTTCATGAGACTCAAAGAAAGAAACTGTTTCTGTAACATATAAGTGCATGGTGAGCAGCAAGGGCTGAGGGAGAGGTTGCGGCACATCATCCAGAAGATCTAGATAAGGTCACTGATGAGGGTCCAGTGATGAGGGTACACTAAACCACAGATTTTCAATGTAGGCAATATAACCTTCTATTAGAAGATGTCATCCAGGACTTTCATAGTTAGAGAAGAGAAGTCAATGCCTGACTTCAAAGTTTCAGAGGACTCTTTTAATGGGGGCTAATGTAGCTGGTGGCTATAAGTTGAAGCCAATATTCATTGAGCATTCTGAAAATCCTGAGGCCCTTAAGAATTATGCTAAATCGGCCAAGTGTGGTGGCTCACGCCTGTAATCCCAGCACTTTGGGAGGCTGAGGCGGGTGGATCACGAGATCAAGAGATCGCGATCATCCTGGCCAACATGGTGAAACCCCATCTCTACTAAAAAATACAAAAATTAGCTGGGTGTGGTGGGGTGCGCCTGTAGTCCCACCTACTTGGGAGGCTGAGACAGGAGAATTGCTTGAACCCAGGAGGCAGAAATTGCAGTGAGCCAAGGTTGTGCCACTGTACTCCAGCCTGGGGCCTGGCGACAGAGCAAGACTCTGTCTCAAAAAAAAAAAAAAAGAATTATGCTAAATCGGCCAGGCATAGTGGCTCACGGCTGTAACCCCAGCACTTTGAGAGACTGAGGAGGGCAGATCACCTGAGGACAGGAGTTTGAGACCAGCCTGACCAACATGGAGAAACCCTGTATCTACTAAAAATACAAAATTAGCTGGGTATGGTGGCACATGCCTGTAATTCCAGCTACTCGGGAGGTGGAGGTTGCAGTGAGCCAAGATTGCGCCATTGCACTCCAGCCTGGGCAAGAAGAGCAAAACTATGTCTAAAAGAAAAATTATGCTAAATCTACACTGCCTGTAGTCTAAAAATGATACAACAAAGCCTAGATGACTTGAAAGATTTCTTTCAAAATATTACTGCTCATTGACAAGGCACCTAGTTACCCAAGAGGTATGATATAGATTTACAAGGATATGAATGTTTCATGCATGCCAACACAACTTCTATTCTGTACCTCATGGATCAAGGAGTAATTCTGACTTTCAAGTTTTATTATTTAAGAAATAAGTTGTGTATAGTTGCCATAGGTAGTGATTCCTCTGATGGATCTGGACAAAGGGTAGAATTCACCATTCCAAATGCCATTAAGAACATAAGAAGGTCAGTCTATATTAACAGGAGTTTGAACGAAGTGGATTCCAACCCTCATGGATGACTTTGAGGGGTTCAGCACCTCAGTGGAGGAAGGAAGTAACTGCGTGTGTGGTAGAAATACCAGGAGAACCAGATTTAGAAGTGGAGTCTGATGATGTGGCTGAATTGCTGCAGTCTCACGATCAAACTTCAACAGAGGAGTAGTTGCTTTTTACGGATGAGCAAAAAAAGTGGCTTCCTGAGATGGAGCCTACTCCTGGTGAAGATGCTGTGAGTGAAATGACAACAAAGGATACAGACTATTGCATAAACTTGGTTGATAAAACAGCAGCAGGGTTTGAGAGTTTTGACTCTAATTTTGAAAGACGTTCCGTGGGTAAATGCAATCAAACGGCGTGGCTCGCTATGGAGAAATCTTTCGCAAAAGGAAAGAGTCAATGCAGCAGACTTCATCATTGTCTTATTTTACAACTACCACAACCACCTCAGTCTTCAGCAACCGCTGATAAATCAGCAGCCATCAACATCAAGGCCAGACCTTCTGCTATGACTCACTAAAGCCTCAGATGATTGTTAGCATTTTTTAGCAATAAAATATTTTAATTGAGTTACACGTACATTGAGTTTGTACACATAATGCTATTGCACACTTAATAGACTACAATATCATGTAAACATAACATATGCACTGGGAAACTAAAATATTTCTGTGACTTGCTTTATTGCAATATTCACCTTATTGCAGTGGTCTGGAACTATCTCCAAGGTATCCTTGTTCTGGAAAGCTCTCCAATTGCGTGTCTAATAACGGTTCTATACTTTGCCTAGTCCCTCATCTATTGACTTGAAATGAAAACATTGCTCTCTTAATGAAGATCGTTGTGAGAATTAACTGTAGGGGTAGGAGAGGAGGGAAAGCATATTTTTTAGGTTGTAAGCCTGAATGAGAAATTGTACATAAAATAAGCCAGATAAGCTCTTGTAAAACATATTTCTATTTCCAGAAAAATTTAAAATGGCTCTGGAGCTCTGCCCTTCACATTTGTTTAACTGAATAAACTTAAGTGAAAATATAAAGCAATGTTTCTTTGCTGAGAAGAAAAATTTCTAAAGGAAAGTGGCCATTATAGCTATTTGGATATTAGATGTCAAATGAAGACTCTATATGTTAATATTTAGAAAATGCACATTTCTCTTAAATTGATTTCCTGCTCTGCAGGGTTTTCTTTTGCTCTTGTAATATTCTTTTTTTTTTTTTTTTTTTTTTTTTTGAGATGGAGTCTCACTCTATCACCCAGGCCAGAGTGCAGTGGCACGATCTCAGCTCACTGCAACTTCAACCTCTTGGGTCAAGCAATTCTCTGCCTCAGCCTCCCAAGTAGCTGGGATTACAGGTGCCCGTCACCATGCCCAGCTAATTTTTTGTATTTTTAGTAGAGACAGGGTTTCATCATCTTGCTAGGCTGGTCTTGAACTCCTGACCTTGCGACCCACCTGCCTCGGCCTCCCAAAGTGCTAGGATTACAGGCGTGAGCCACCATGCCTGGCTTGCTCTTGTAATACTCTAAATAAGTATGCTACCTCTGACTTATTCTGCAAATATTTCAGCAGCATTCATAAAAAAGGAATAGTGTACCACATCGCTCAAATTGAATCAGTTTAAAATTGTCAGGAGTTGAAATTGTGGTTGCTGAAGTTAATGGACTAATCAAACCATAGTTTTAGATGATGTTACTCCAGCATTCTAATTACTGCAATCTGCTTTTCCTCCGTAACTATGAAAGCAAAACTCAAAGCCTGATTCAGAAAGGAAATTAAAAGTTAAAAGACAAGGAAGACATTTTTATCCTCACATACATTATGGTAGATTATTAAGCTGACCTTGTAAAGTTAAAGATTTTGCTGTAAATCACATTGGAGTTGATTACAAGACATGGAAACTATATGTTTGAAATCCTTGAAACAGCATAATTTCATTTATGTGATTTTTAAATAAAGGTGATTCATTATATATTAAATAAAAAATTATATCTACGAATGTTTTGATTTGTATGCTTTCATAAGGCTTTCTTATGAGTAAAAGCAGAAGCAAGAAAAAAATTTTTTTCCAGACCACATATCCTGACTCGAGAATTAAAAAAATATGGTCCTGGTATGTTCCAGACAAGCCTTAGCAATAAAAAGATAAAGAGGCTACTTAGGCCGTTTGTGGATTTGAGGAAAGGTCTGTTCATTTACACAAAATGTATCTCTAATCACTTTTCCATGCCTAAAATCCTATTAATAAGAAGGAAAATTCTTCAGTCTTTAATAAAAATAGGATTAAAATCCAAAATTTCTAGGATCTGTAAGACAAGACTAATTTGTTTACATTTTTATTATACAAAATTTAAACATATGGAAAAATTGATATATGTCTTTACCTGAATTTAACAATTGTTAACATTTGCCATATTGATTTTTTCCTGTATGTGTGTGAAAATGTGTGTGTGTGCTTGAAAATTAAGTTGTAGCTGTCTAAATACTTCACTTCTAAATACTTTAGCACAAATCTTCTGAAACCAGTAGCATACTCCTACATAATGACCATACTATTTTTGTACTTAAGAGAATGGAGTAATATATTTTATTCCCTCATATCTAATATACATATTCTAATTTCCCCATGTTCCCCCAAAAGTCTCTTTTTTTATACCTTTTTTGTTTTTTCCATAGCAGGATTCAATAAAGGTTCACATATAACTTTTGGTAATGTATTTTCAGTCTGTTAAACACTGAGCTGTCTCTCCATCTTTTTGATGTGTGTATGGGTTTGGTTTGGTTTGGTTTTTCTCAGAGCACTGACATTTTGAAGACAGCGGCAGGCTGGATGTCTTAGAGAATGCCTCATATTCTGGATATATCTGTTTTTTTCTTCATGGTGTCATCTAACTTATTTTTGCATTTTCTGAATTTTGTATAAACTGGAAGTTAGGTATACCTGGAGGCTTAAGTAGTTTCAGGTCAAACATTTTTAGCAAGAACCCTTCATAGGTAATGCTATGCATGTTATTTTACAGTGTATCAAAAGACCCATAAAAACAGGTGGAAGGACTTCTGTTTACACGGAAGTATTAATGATTCCTAGCATGTCCTTTTCTGGGCCCCAGATTTTTAATTGAAAGCAGTTAGACCTCATGATTCTCAAAACAAGTGTTAACAGTGGAGGGTGTCCAGGTTCTTGGTGACTTTAACAAAGAATTGGACAAAATGGACCGGGCACGGTGGCTCACACCTATAATCCTAGCACTTTGGGAAACTGAGGTGGGCGAATCATGAGGTCAGGAGTTTGAGACCAGCCTGGCCAACAGGGTGAAACCCCATCTCTCCCAGCTACTTGGGAGACTGAGGCAGGAGAATGACTTGAACTCAGAAGGCAGAGGTTACAGTGAGCCAAGATCATCATCACTGCACTCCAGCCCCGGGGGACAGGGTGACTCTCCATCCCAAACAAAAACAAACAAAAAAAGAATTGGACAAAACGCACAAAGTAAGAAAAGAATGAAGAAACAAATGCAGAGATTTATTAAAAACAAAAGTTCAGGGGGCTGAGGCAGGAGAATTGCCTGAACCCAGGAGGCGGAGGTTGCCGTGAGCTGAGATCATGCCATTGCACTCCAGCCTGAGTTCAAGAGCGAAACTCCGTCTCAAAAAAAAAAAAAAAAGTTCACTCCACAGGGTGGGAGGGCCTGATTACAGAATGTTCTGGAGTTTAAATACCCTCTAGAGGTTTCTCATTGGTTACCTGGTGTATGCCCTATGTAAATGAAGTAGTGGCTGGTGATCAGTCTAATTGGTTGCAAGAGGGGACCAATCTGAGGCTGAAGCAAAGTGACAAAGTTACACCTTATGCAAATGTGTGATTGCTTGCAGAAAGTGACCAATCAGAGGCTAAAGTGAGGTTACAAAGTTATACTCCTATGCAAATGAAGTTGGCCTGGAACCAGCCTGATTGGTTGTGGGAGGGGACCAATCAAAGGTACTCTTTTTTAATCTGGCAGGCAGAAAAGTGGAGGTTGCAAAGGGAGTACCCTCTGGTCCTTTTGTTACTTCGGAGTGGAAAGTTGGGGTTTTCCTTCTGATTTATTTCTAAGGAGTCAGCGTGAATTGGCCTATGTTCCCTGCCTCCAGAGCCTATTCTATTACCTTACAAGGTTGGCATAGAAATTCTTCATGGGCTCAGGGAATGCGCCAGTTTAGTGTAAGCAGCAAGATTCAGCTCTGAGTAAAGCCAGGAAAACCATTTACCTCTAAACCTAATATCCCCAAAGTATATGTTACCATAAATTTAAGCGAACTTCTTTTCTGATAAGGCTGGTCTTATATAGGGACAAACAGGAATAAACAAGTATAACAACTCTGACCTGGGACCTGAGACCTTAAGTTCTAGTCCTACCTCTGTCACCAGATAACTGTCACACTGGGAGTCATTCATTGATTCACACATGAGGTAGAGGCATTGTCACTTACATTTTGTAAATGTTACACAAGCACCAATATGATTGAATATCCTTATATATTTCTTACTAGGACAAAGAACAGCACTTGGATTTTATTTCTTGCATTTCCTTTTGGGGGAAGCAGGGAAGTATCAGTCATTCCCAAATTGAAGCATTTCTCCTTGTCCAATTTTTAGGTAATTATCGTCGTGTGGGTAAAATGTGCAGTGTGAATAGGGTGCTTTGTCCTGTGGTTTGACAGATTCCTTCCTGCAGGTCGAATGAGAGGGACGGGTTGTAGTTTTATTCCCTTCTGAATTATATATAAACTTGTGTGGTTGGGAAAATTGGGAGTCAACTTTTCCAATTGCAAATAAGGAGAACAGGCTGGACAGCTGAGTGGTAGAATCTGGGATTAGAGTCCTGCTTTCTGGCCCACTAATTGGAAGACCACTGGACATGTGCCCTGACCACTCCAACCACAGGACTGAGGATAGTGGGTTCAGTGAGGCTTCCCTTAGAGTATTGCATGAGCTCTGACCACAGAGAGCAGCAAAACTCCACTATCTCTTCCTGTCACCCTCTCACACCCATACAATATTTTAAGTCCTCTAGAACAACCCTGGCCTGTGTGTGCAATGAACATAGGGGGGAAGTATGGAAAAGAGCTGCTTTGTCTCCAAGACTTTTATACTAAACATTACATTTCTGAGTAGAAGTGAGGGGGGTGGGGTAGGGGCCGGGCACAGTGGCTCACGCCTGTAATCCCAGCACTTTGGGAGGCCAAAGCAGGTGGATCACCTGAGGTCAGGAGTTCGAGACCAGCCTGGTCAACATGGTGAAACCCCATCTGTACTCAAAATACGAAAATTAGCCAGACGTGGTGGCGGGTGCCTATAATCCCAGCTACTCAGGAGGCTGAGGCAGGAGAATCGCTTGAACCCAGGAGGTGGAGGTGGCAGTGAACAGAGATCAAGCCATTGCACTCTAGCCTGGGCAACAAGAGCAAAACTCCATCTCAAAAAAAAAAAAAAAGAAAAAGAAAAGGAAAAAGGCGGGGATTAGGGTGTGAGGAATAGGCCAGTGGTAGGAGATGGAGTTAAGAGAAGTGGATGAAAGCAATAGAAAGTGTTGGAAAGATATCCCCTTTGCCAGTTCAGGGTTCAGTGTGTGGCAGGGGTGGGCTGTGAATTAACTGACAATAGTCAGATTTATGGGAGAAAAATTTTAACTCACACAACAGTGGGAGCATTCAAATGAAGAGGCTGGCTGAACAGCTAGGGATAAGGGTTTATATACCAGCTTAAGAAGGGGAAAGAGGAAGAGAGAAGGCTTCTATGGGAGACGGATGAGCTTTTAGGAGAAACAGATAGCTTTTAGGAAAACAAATGGAAGGTAGGACAGTTTGTGATAATGTTTGTTTATGCGGTTTCATATCCCAGTGCTAATAGTCTCCTTCCTTGCTGGAAATTCCCCCGGAGAGAGAGGATTTATGGTAGCTTCCTTGGAAGGCTGTGCCTTTCTTCCGATAAAGGAAGCACAGAAAAGGCTTCTTTCTGCATCTGTTGTATCTCAAATATCTTCAGTTTAATCTTTATACCATTTTGGTGAGTTGCAAGTCCCTACAAAAGTCAAGGATGTGAAGCCCCCGGGAGGTTGAAAGGGAAACAGGGCCAAAGCGCTCAGGTATCTCTGAGTTGTGGCCTCTGTTCCTGAGT